TTTTTTTAAAGATTGGCACCTGGGCTAACCACTGCTGCCAATCTTTTTTTTTTTTCTGCTTTATTTCCCCAACCCCACCCCCACCCCGTACACAGTTGTATATCTTAGTTGCAGGTCCTTCTAGTTGTGGGATGCAGAGTTCACTTTCAAACTAATAGAAATACCATGTTAAAAACACAGAGCTATGAAGAAAGAAGAACCTTAGGGTTTCGGACTGGTGTATTAGCTTTCTACACTCAGCAAATTTTAAGTATGCGTTTAGGGCATTTTGGTACAGAGTTATCAGTGCTAAGAAATCACTGCTTTTTAGACAGCTTCACTGTCATGATCCAAGTCATTTTACTTTCAGAAGAGAGACTCTGTATAGTTCACTGAGGAAAAAAATGAAATATAAGGTGAATGCACATTATTAGGAGAATGGCTGAAATAAATGATGGTATAATGACAACATGGAATATTATTCAGTCATTGTAACAATGAATTAGAGATATTTACATGAAGTATTCATGAAGGAGAAAAACATTATGTTGAAAAATATATGTAATAAACGTGATTCCATTTTTTGAAAAACAAACAACGACAAAAATACCTCTATATGTATGTTATTCTGTGTGCATACATGTGTATACATGTTTATATATGATTGTATGGCATGAAGAAAACTATAAAATTACACACTCTAGGTTGTTAACATGGGTTAACTGTGGACAGGAATAGGGTAATATGATGCAAAAGGAAGGAGAAAGGATAAAGTGATTTATGAAAAAAAAAGAAGACTTCTATTTTAAAATAATATATACAATATAATAATATTTATGTATTATAAAAGGAAGAAAAATCAACTCCCAATGTTGGAGGAAATGAAAAAGAAACATTAGAGTAAATAAGGAAGGTACAAGTGATTGAGAGGTAGGAAGCACTTCCAAATGGCACAGTAAGATCCTCCAAAAATATGTTCCTCCATAAAAGTAGTAAAAACACTGGAAAAAAATTATCAAAATCAAATTTTTCAGAACTTAGGAATTTAACCAAAGGCTTGCATCAGAGGAACATTTATTCAAGAAAAAATGACTGAATCACAAGGAGAACTATGCCTTTGCAGCATTTTAACTTGTCCTCTTCCTAACACCCTCTCCCTACTTCTGTTGTGGCCCTGAAAACCAATGGCCTTGCAACCATGGTAGCTATGAAAACTGGACACCTAGGAGATGATAGAGGGGGAAGAAACGGTTTGAAGCTCCCCCAAAAGGCATCCCCAGAGAATTGTCACCATTCAACCTATCTGGAAGCTCCTGGAAGGGATCCATTCTCACAGTTTGTCTTTATTTGACTTGACTCAGCACTTTCTCTATGCAAACAGTTCTATTCCAGGAAACTTGTCAAAAACAACCTGTGGCAGTTGTTTAACATCACAGCTACCCAAGGCAAGAATACCTGTTGGAAATGAGAGGCTGACCAAAACACTTAAAAGGAAAAACTGGAGAAAGAGATGTTCAAAGGGGCCTTTGACAGGCTCTGACATATTCCATGGGATCTAGAAGGCCAGGGCTGTGCCCATATCCAAGAAAGATATGAGAAGCCAGTCACAGAAGCCGTATATTCATTGTTTGATGTCCTTTATATGAAGTGTTCAGAACAGACAAATCCACAAAGACAGAAAATACATTAGTTTTAGACACAGGCTGAGGAAAAGAGGAAATGAGGAATAATGGATACAACATTTCTTTTTGCAGGGATGAAAATGTTCTAAAATTAGTTAGTGGTAATGGTTACACAACTCTGTGAATATATATTAAAAATACTGAATTGTACATATTAGAGGGTGAATTTTATGGTATGTAGATTATATCTCAAAAAGTGGGGGTTTTTTAAGTAAAAGTGAGGTCTGATGCATTTTCATCTGACATAGAATATTTAGGAGCTGGTTACCAAAGAGCATAATGAGAGAACAAAACACTTTGAGCTTTCAGCAAATTAATCTACTCTGTTGTCATTTTAATTCCTGATCAGAGTTTCTAGGTTATTTTATTGTGTGCTATATTATTTTTAACTCAAATGCTCTTGGTTGGTCAAAGAGTTTTTCCCTTTCCTTAAAATTTAATTTATGTTTGAACACATAAAATATATGAAGAGAAAACGTGAAAATAAAAACCCAAATGCAGAATGCAACCTAGAAAAATCCCTTGCTGAAATATAGCATGAAAGCTAACTATGGATCTTTTCCCTTTCCATATTACAATTAGTTTTCAGAACACAACTAATGAAACTCCAGAAGTAACAGATGTCACATAAAGCCTATTCCACATTTACAGAGCCCAGCTCTGCCACAGAGTGTAATATGGAGGAATTTGTTCCAAACTGCAGTATTCTACGCTTTAGCATGATCTTAAGGACCCCTAGGAGGAAAGGTCTTAAAGGAAGGCGATTTCCCGGTACCTTTTGCCAGGAGTTCTCCCTTTGGTTTCCTACCCAGGATATTTGGGTAGGACAGAACGTCTGGCCACTTTATTTTTGGACTGCAGTGGACTTAAATAGCTTTTACACATGCCAGGAATTTAAAATGACATTTTAACTAGAGAATAATAAAAAAGAGAGATAAAAACAAATTCTCTGCCAGGTGTTGGTACAGATACAAGACATTCAATGATACTTTAAGTAAAATTGATTACACAAATATCAAGTGCAGAAGTATGATTAGGCATCACCAACCAAAAGTAATGAGACATTAAATTTTTGAAATGACCATAGTTCATTTATTTATTCATTCAACAAATATTTTATTGAGCCCTGGCTATACAGCAGTAAACAAAATAGACTTCTCTCCTTACTGTCCTGGAGCTTGAAATTTGCTCAGTAATGCTCCTGCTACTGCAAAAAGAACAATAAAATTAAATGAGGAAGGTGAAATACTTGAAAGAGTATCTAGGAGTCGCAAGATCTGAATCTCTATTCCATGTCTACTGATTACTAGACAAATGGTATTGGATATGTCAACTTAATTTCTCTAAGCCTCAATTTCATACCTTGAAAAATGGTGTATATTACCTGTCCTGCATACCTCATCAGTATATTATAAGGACCGCAGAGAAAATATTCAAATTATGCCCTGAAAACTACCAAAAGCTCTATAATGACAGGCTAGTAATATTACTGAAATGTATGAACAACTATCAAATCCCTTCAACAAATAATTTTAGTTAATATAGACCATCTCCTGCAGATCTGTGTGGTCAGATGGTAAAGCTCAGTGCTAACTGTCAAGTACATTAACAACATAGAATGACACACATTCAAAGGTTTTGACTTTTCTTCATTTAATCATTCTAATTTCACCTGGATTTCCTTTCCTTGTCAAATTACATTCATATTCTCAAGCAATGTTCCAACCATAGGAAGAAAAAATGAGTCAAACAGATTTCCATCAAACTTCCAAAATGGGCAACAAGTACCATATGTTTCTTTACTCTTCAGGGTATGTGTTTGTCACCTCTACTTGAATCTTAAATGACAGAACTTTCAAAATAGAGACAAATCCACTTAGTAAAAGAAAATAACAACTGCTGTAACGGCAGCCACATCAACTGAACTGAATTTTTGCTTAAATTACTTATGCACTTCTGATGAAAAACATTGCCCTTAAGAATAATGAAGTGCTTAAGATATGACTAAAATATTAAAAACCTCAAAATTAAACTCATGAGGAAAATTAATTTTACTTGGCGTAATTCAGGTTTGCAGTATTACTGTCACGTAATGAACATGAATCCGTATGAATCACTGGTGAACACCAAGCCTTAAGAAACAGTTAATACCTATAGGTACTGTGTGAAACAATGGAATCCAAACAATCTGTCTCTTTGGGGCTAGAGAAATAGAATAATCCTGCTTTTCTTCAGACACTGGCAAACGTGTACTGTGATAGCTAAGAATCAGCTTAATCCTTCCCTTCCTGGCCCAGAATGAAAATAAATACTCTGTCTTAGACCTACGATGTGATTTCCCTTTGTGGGTTTTCATGAAAGAGGGAGGAACAAATAAGAAAATGATCATGGATGGATGGGCTTTGTATAATTTCAATCACATAAGCTTGTTTTAGGAAGTAGAAAATAAAAATCGACAACTGCAGAGAAAGGTCTTACAGTGACTGCTCTGATCACATTTCATCGGTGCTAACTGGATCAGAGCGGAAGCTCTTTGTCACTTTCCACACAAATCCACCCCCACCAGCACTCTGGAAGTTTAACAACTTGACTAAAAACCTGAGGAGTATCGAGGGATGGAGTCACATGCCAGAGCATATTGTCTGCCACCATCTAACTGGCCCCATCTCCACATTTTCTGTCTTCTTGCTCTCTCCCAGCTCTTTTTCTGGAATAACTGACAAATCGTTCCATTTGTCCTCGTGCAGAAGTTTCACACATGCCACTTTCCTCACGGTGTGCTTATTGTCAGCCACCAACACGTAAAATAAATTGTACACCAAATAAACGAGGGAGAAGAGGGAAGTAAGGAGAAAAGAACACATGGATACTTCCAAAGCACCCGGGAGGACAGCTCCTGTTAAATCACTTGGCATTCTATTGTAGAACTGGGAGCCCTCCCACCCCTAGTGACAGAATAAGTAACTTACTTATTAGTTTAACCATCTCAAAATAAGTAACTTAAAACTTCAAAACAGAAGCACACTTTCAGAGGTGAACCACCACAAAATCAACCCCGCTAGATTGGGGCAAGCAGCCTAAATTTTCATGCCTCAGAAATGTTAAATGACATTGACACATTTTCATTACTTACTCGTGTCCCTATCTGAACAGCTGAGCCGACGCCATTTCATATTTAGGAACAGGGCACTCAGCTAGACTGGTCAGATAGCAGAGTGGAGCTTTGCCTGAGTGACCAATAAGATTGTGAATTAAGAGCATCGGTTGCCACACTTAAAAATCTACCTCTGGGTTCCACAGACATCAAAGGACGCTCGCATTCAGCACCTTCAGACTTACTTGTGTTCCTGTGGTTGTGGTCCTCTGGGAAAGAAGCATCCGTGGTCCAGGCTGGAATGTGTTGGCTGGGATGTGCAGTGGATGTCACAGGGCTCTCGTTATAAACTGTGTTTGTAAGAATAACATCAGACACTTGGACTTCACCATCAGTGACCAAAGGTTCACTCCCATTTGATTTAAAATAGGCCTTTTTTAATGTTCCTAAAGACAAAAAAATATATATTTTAAAACACTACTAAAAGCATTTATTTTAAAAAACTTATTAAGAAAACTCTAGAGCTACTTTCCAAAGTCTTATTCTATCCAGGCAAACACAAAGAAAAGGATGATGGCGAGCACAACGACCCACTTCACTGGGACAGCCAGGAGAGTGTCTCCTCTACCACAAATCACATAACCCTGTGAAGAAACTATTGCTTTCTCAAGAGCTGATAGAAACTGAGTCTCCCGTCTAGGTTCTGTGTGTCCAAAGAATTTAGGGCAATTCCACCGCGCCTGAGACTCACCAGAAATAAATAAAATGTGGTGAATCTTACAGTGTTTCCTCCCCGCTTTCTGTTTCTCAATTTCACCCATCACTTTATGCTACTCAGTACTCAGGACATAACATACACTCTCTGCATCTCTCTATCTGCCACCAAAGGACACAATAGTGTCTGCTTAGCTTCAGTCTTATATTTCTCCACATTTTGCACTGAATTTCAGTAAACTATGCATAACGGAAAAATAGAAATAACAGGGCTCATAAATTTACCTAGACTTATTTCATAGAAACCAAAATAAAGTAAAACTCTAATTCCAGCAAAACTAAAAGAAGAAACTACATTGTTTTCATGTTTGACTAGAAGCTATAAAATATAATTACAGGAAATAAGAAATAGTCATTCAACTAATATTATCAACTGGTCACTTTCAAGGTATTCATTCATTGACAAAATAGTCAAACCTAAGATTATTGGGAATCAGCTAGCTTTAGCTTTAGGCAAAAACTTTTAAAAACTTCGAAAGAGATGGTGTATTTTTAACTCAGTCAGAATAGACAACCGACTGTTTCCAAAATACAGCCCTGAAGTTGAGTATGTCACTAAAATAAATGAGTGTGATATTGATCCATTATAGAAATACTCAAGGGAGATCTTTTTTCTAAAAGCACTTACAGTGAATGCTGTAATTGGCTCTCAGATTTCCAAACAGCCATGGACCATTAAAAATAAAAGAAATATAAATAAAATGTTTAATATCAGTCTATGGAAAAAATTTCTCTACATGTGCTTGACACTTGGAAAATATTAACTACAAATCAAAATAGAAAAGCAGCTGTTTTCTAGCTAAGGTCAACAGTTTCATCTGCCAAAGGATTCTAAATAAAACAGGGGAGCGTAAAAGCTAAATCGTGACCATGTGGTACAGGTAACACCCTCTCCAAACTGTCTGTGTGATTATGAGTAAATATCAAATGCAGAAGGTGAAATAAAAGACTTCATTTCATTGGTTTTGAGTTTTAAAATGATTTAGAATTTATCCTAGATCAAAATAAATGTATGTGATAGATTTGATTACTATATAATACATACTTCATTCATACAGAAAAGTTTACTAATATCAGTTAGATATAATCTAATCAATTGGATATAATTTTATTTTCACCCATTTGTTAGTTGGTCTCTTCTTTCTTTATTTTGGCATAAAGAGACTTTTCATATAACATGTTATTTCCACTAATGTGGCTGGAATGAGTATATAAGGAGCAGAAAGTTGATTTATTTATCATGCTAACTCTGTGAGTGAGCATCTGGCTCTGTCAACAGACTTTTAGCAAATGCCAATTCCTCACAGTGATAGCCCTGAGTAATTCACTCAAAAGAGGATCCTTGTATAATACATTCCAACAGTTGTTCTTAACATTTCGTTTGTAATGGTTAGCCTTATTAACACTCTTTCCTTTATCTTTTTCACCTAAGCACGGTGGTGAAAGTGTTAATAACATCTGTTGGCTCTAAGAAGTCCTTTGAAACACTGACTTTCTTAGGAAACTCTGACTCATGCAACAATTTCCTAGAAAAAAGGCAGCTTCCTGCTCTTAAACTCTACATATCAAAGCAAGTTGGCAGAATAGAGATAAAGACAATAAATGATATATGATAGCTGCTGGAGCTAAAGTCCCTAAAGTATATTTTTGAGAGATAGACAGACAGATTGACAGAGAGCGGGAACAAACCTAAAGGATGTGTCTTTAAAAGCCTGAATTCACTAAACAATTTGTTTTCAGGCATCTCTGGAAACTGATCAACTCTCAACTCACAGTTGTTCATCTGTTATGCATTTTTTAAAAAGCACAAAATTAGAACTCAATAAGACTAAATACTCTCCAGCTACACCATGACCAGCTATAAAAATGCTGAGAGTTATTAGTCTGAAGTAGAGTGTTCATTCTTCCAGTGTTGCCCCATCTTTTTCCACATTCCTATTTTTGTAGTGCTGTAGTTAAAAGTGCAGGTTCTGGGGCCGGCCTGATGGTGTAGTGGTTAAGTTTGCGTGCTTCACTTTGGTAGCCCAGGATTGGCAGGTTGGGATCCCAGGCAGAGATCTACACACCACTTGTCAAGCCATCTGTGGCAGCGTCCTACATATAAAGTAGAGGAAGACTGGCACAGATGTTAGCTCAGGGCCAATCTTCCTCCTCAAAAAGAAATTTTTTAAAAAGTGCAGGTTCTGCAGCCTGACCACCTGAGTTTAGATCCCATCTCTAGTACTTGCCAACCCTGAAACTTCAGGCAACTCTCAACATCCATAAAATAAGGAAAATAAAAGTACCTCCCTTATGGGGGTGGCCATCAGGATCAAATTAGTCAATACGTACATAAACACTTGGAACAGTTCCTGGCATACAGTAAGTTCTCAATGTCAGTCATTACTACACACTGATAGCAATGAAAATCAAATTGTCTTCCTTGGGGCTACTAAGGTACTTTTAAATAAATACCAATTTTCTTTTACTATAAGTGCAACTCAGCCATCAAAACGGCTAAGGAAATTTTCAAAAGTAAGTCACTTTATCCACTTTTAGAATGAAAGAATGGTGGCTCTTTCATGCTACGTTAATAAGAACAGGCCACACTGTATCAAGGTTGTATGGCTCAAAAGTGTTTCAGCTCTATCACACAGCTCGATTTAGCAATGTTTGAGAAATAGTCCATAATTCCAATAATAGTAGCCAAGCTTTACTGATCACTTACAATGAGTGGGTTGAACACCAAAGTAGGCAAAATAATGCTCCCCCAAAAATGTTCACATCCAGTCAGAACCTGTGACTGTGAACCTGTGAATATGTCACCTTACAAACCTTACATGGTAAAATGGATGTTGCAAATGTGAGTAAATTAAGGAATTTGAGATGGGGGAATTATCTTTGATTATTCAAGTGAGCCAAGGTAGCAACAGGGTCCTTATAAGCAGAAGAGGGAGGTGAGAGAGGGTGTATCAGAGTCATGCAGTGTGAGAAAGACTCAATGGGCTCATTTTGAAGATAGAAAGAGGCCACAAGCCAAGGAATGCGAGAAGCCTTGAGAAGCTGGAAAAGGCAAGAAACAGATTGTCCCCTAGCGTCTCCAGAAGGAATACAGCACTGCCAACACCTTACTTTCAGCCAGTGAGATCTACTTTGGACTTCTGACCTCCAAAACTCTGAGGTAATATATTTGTGCTGCTTTAAGCTACCAAGTTTGTGATTACTTGTTACAGCAGCGATAAGAAACTAATACAGGCGTCTTGTTAAGTATCCTCACTAAAGGCATCTACTGAGTTAGCCTTCCAAAAATCCTATGAACACAGGGGCTGTTATTAACTCTTCTGTATGGAGTTTCAGAGAGAAGGAAACTGAAGCTTACAAGAGTTACTGAAGTTATCCAGTAATTGAATTGGGACATGACACATACACCCACACCCACATCCACTTCTCACTTTGGACAAGGTATACAGGTTAAAAAAAATCAATCATCATAAGCACGTAAAAAAACTATCTTCCTATGATGTGAGTTTAAAATTGATTCCTTGTCTTTATATCTCGAACCATGTGGTAACACATTTACTTTGCATTTTCTATGTGCCAGCAACTTTGTATCTACTCTCTGCTGAGATCACAAAATTTAGTAAGCAGTTCTTATCATCACATGTCTACAGATTAGTTGAGAGAGACAGGCATGCAGTCGAAAAATAGGAACCATGCTACAAGTGCTTTGAGAATGAAATCCATAGGACAATCTGGTGACAAAAAGTAGAGAAGTAGCTGTCATTCCATTTGAGAAAGTCAGGAAAAGTTACTTAGGGGAGAACGATCTTCAATGTGAATCTTAAAAGATGATTAGGGATTTTCTTAGGTTGAGCAAATATTTGTGGGGAAGAGGGAGGTGTGGTAACAGAGAATGGAGAACTTTCTAGACAGCACACAGGGGGGAAGATACACAAAAGCCTAGCAGCAAGTAATTAAACATAGCGAACACACAGGAGACTGGCCAGAGAAAGGGCTGGAAAGCGAGTAGAAGCCAGACTGGGAAGGGCACTTCCTGTTAAAGATTTGGAATTGATCTTGTTGTGATGGAGCACTTCTGAAGGGTCTTACACAGGGTGGAACGTAAGAATGGTCACTCTGGCAGCTGGAAAGGGGTCAAGTCTAGAGGACTGTTAGAAGGCTATTGAAGTAGTCCAAGGGGAAAAAGAGTAAGGCCTGACCCACGGCAAAAGCAGTGAGGACAAATGGAAGGTTTTGAGGGAGCTCTCAGGGGTAAAATTGTGAGAATATAAGGGAAAGAGTCAGAGGTCCCTTCAAGGTTTTTGATGTGGATTACTGGGTAAATGAAGGTACTCCCAACTGAGACAGGGTGGTAGGCAGTGCTATTCATCATATATTTTCAATTCTCTCCCATTCTACCAGGACACACGCTTGGGTTACATTCTTGGGTCTCATTCTCTGTCGCTTGACATCTTTGATGTCAGTCAATGCGTACAAATCTCCAGGTATAAGATGAATAAGTTCTGGGGATCTAATGTAAAGCATGGTGATTATTGTTAACAATACTGTATTACATACTTTTTTTAAAAAAAGAGCCTCTAGTGCTCTTTTTCTTTCTCTCTGGCACCATAATCACAAAGGTTCAAGATGATGGCTGGTCCATCAGTTTAGTCTCTGAAGGACTCAGTGAGCA